GGACACTTGCTCAGGGGCAGGGCCAGGCTCCCCACCCGCCAGTGGGGAAACAATAGCCAGCGCTGGGAGTATTTGACCAGCGATAATCTGGGCCTGTTGGGCAGCGAGGGCCCCCTCCCTCCCGTGCTCCCTCCCTCCGATAAGGCCGCCCCAACCACTTGCCCAAACCCCAGAGGGGGAGGGCGTGCCCGCTGGACTCACCATTCACCTGCTGGGGGGAATAGGCCTCGGAGCCCGAGTCTGGGGGAGAGTCAGGCAGCGTGCTGCGGGAGAGGGGGGGGGCTGTTGGGAGGGCAGCTGAGACGCTGCCTTCAGGCTGAGCAGCTCCTCTGTGGGGCAGCGCTCCAGGCACCCCAGAGCTGGAGGCATCGAGGTCTCCTCACTCCCACCAGTGGGGCACTTCGCTGTGCCAGTCACCTTGGGGTGCCTGGCAGTTGTTGGGGAAGCCCTGGGCTCCTGCCCAGCATCCCCTCAGACCTGCTGGGCACTTGGGGGCCAGTAACCAGGGTCCCTGATGATGCCACAGGCATTCAAGGGTTCTGTCCCCAGTCTGAGGGCCCAAGTCTGCTCTTCCCTTGCTATGCCCACCGAAGCCCCATTTCTTGGAAACACAGTGTCCTAGGGAGCTGGACGGGTCACTAGGGGGACCGTCCCACCATGGGCAGGTGTGGACTGGGCAGGGAGCCAGCTCGGCTGGGCCTCGCTCGGTTTATTCTTTTCTTGCTGGTTTTGTTTTTATCAGTGGTTCAAGCAAAAGAACAAACTCAACCCTGAGAGGCCAGCACGTCCCGCAGGAACCCGACTGGTCCAGTGAGGGGGAGAATGTGGCCACACGGGGACCCACTCTTTGGCCATCCTTGGTCCCCACGTCTGGAGAGACTTCCCACTGTGTGCCCAGCCATCATGGATGCAGCCTGGAGCTGATCTCAGAGTGCCCATGCTCCCCTAGACAAGCCATCTCCCCAACCCCACCAGCTATGTGAGGATGCTGGAAAAAGTATGAAGTGATGGGAACTGAACCCTCCCTGTGGCCCTCACTGCTGACCAGGCCTCTCCAGCTCCACGTCTGTCATTGTCTGTCATCTCCTGCCTGCTCCCTACACTTCCCTGACAGTGGCCTTGGGTTTCTCTAGTCTGTCAAGGTCTTTCACACACTCCGATCCCTGCAATCAAATGCCCAAGTCCACAGGACCTCGTGTTCTCTCCTTTCAACTCCTTGAGGTGCTCACTAGTCCTCCATGTGGTGATTTATTAATTGATAACTTCCTCCCTAACGAGACTGCAGGATCCACAGCTGGAGGGACCTGTCTGTCTTGTTTACCATCTAGAGCAGGGCCAGGCAGGGGTGGGGCAGTGAAGGCCCAGGCCACAGAGGCCCCGTGTGGCTCTGGACAAGCCCCTTCCCTCTCTGGGAAATGACCTCCTGTGCCATTAGAATCCCGCTGTGAGGACCAGGGGAGCCCTCCTCAAAGGCCAGATACAGGGGCCAGCTGAGGTGCTCACACAAGCATAGGCACGGGGTCCAGCAGCGGGCACCCAGCCGGCACAAAGCTCTCCTCCCTCCTGCCTTCCCTTAGGGGTCTGTGGCTTAGTGACTGCCTCTCAGCCTCAAGCAGCTCACCCCTGACACTCCAGCTCCCCTCTGCTGCCCAAGCCCTGTAATCCAGGAGACAGCTCAGTTCCCCCAGCGCCGCCTCCCTTTATTTCCACAGTGCCTAGAGGGGAAGCGTTTTGGGCTCACTTTACAGAGAAGACACTGAGGCCCTGACCGAGGTGGTGGTTACTGAGCTGTCTGACAGGTGTCATGCTCCCAGCACTCAATTAGTCTTTCTCTCAGAGACCGGGTCCCTGTCCCCGGCTAGGGAACCCAGAACTTTCTCTGAGCCCCTCTAAAGGCTTTCCCCATGAGCATGTGTCCATGGGCAGCTGGCTGGGCTGGCTGGCGGCCACCTGGAACCTTTGGTCACAGCCAGACCCAGGCTGAGCCCTTGAGTCAGGCTGTTGATGTGGACTCATCATGGAAGCGCGGGAGGCTGTCTTGGGTGGACTATCAGGCACCACGTCTGCACCATCAGCCAACTCCTTGTGGCCACAGCAAATAGTGGCTCAGTGCACGACTGAGTGGATGGAGCTGGCTTGGTGAGGGGAGTCTGCGCATCTGGGTATGGGCACACATGTATAGGGGTGTATGCGTGTGTAGATGTGTACTCGTGTAGGTGGTCCCGTGAATGTAAACAGTTCTGGCCTCTGGTCCCAGCCCCTCCTGAACACAGCTCCCCTTTCCACACAGCTCTCAGAGGTTTTTCTTTTTTTTCTTTCCTTTCTTTTGAATCCTCACCTGAGGATAGTTTTCCATGGCTTTTTCAGAGAGAGTGGAAGGGGGAGAGAGATAGAAACATGGATGTGAAAGTGACGCACCAATTGGTTACCTCCCACAAACGCCCCAACAGGGGCTGGGGATCAAGCCTGCAACCGAGGTACGTGGCCTTGGCTGGAATCGACCCCGGGACCCTTCAGTTCCTGGGCCAACGTTCTAACCACTGAATAAACCGGCTAGGGCTCAGAGATTTTTCTAGCACTTCTGTCAGCCCTCATCACTCCCCTGCTCAGAACCCCCCATGCTGCCCACTGCCTCAGAACAAGGCCACAAGTCCCTCCTCAGCCTGGCCCTAGTCCTACCCCAACTTACCTGCCCACCAAGCACCCCAATGACCACTGCCAGGCCTTGGCCAGCTCCTCCCAGGTCCATAGGCACTGGCCCCATGCCCTGCCTGCCACTGGGCCTTGTATCTAATCTGCCCACCATGCTCCCTGCCCTCACTCACCCTGGGGCATACGGAGCCTTGGGCTCTGCCTTGATGGGGGGCCCAGAGCCCCCCAGGAAGGGCTTGGGAGCGGTGCCCATGCCATTGTTGTTGTTGCAGTTGAGCGGGGTGCTGTAGGTCGGGGGTGGAAGGGGGCCATGGCGCCCTGGGGAGGGTCCACCCTCAGGGGGGCTCAGGTGGTGGACCCCGCTGGAGCCGGGGATCACTGGCTGCCCGTGGGTGTAGGAGGCGGTACTGGCTGAAGCAGAGATGTCAGGGAAACAGCTGCGGAGAAGGGGGGAAGCTCAGCGCCAGCCAGGACCCCAGCCCCTCCCTGGGCCCCACCGGAAGGGCAGATGGCAGAGTAGTCAGCCACTGGGAAAGGACCAGGGGCCGCTTTCAGAGGTGGGGCCCTGTCACCTCCCAGGTGAAAAGTGGAGGCCAGAGGGCCTGGGGGCGGAGCGAGGCTGTCCTGGGGCCACTCACAGGTCGGAGGCATCCTCCTTGCTGATGTACTCCTCCAGGATGCTGGTGTCTATGTTGGAGGGCTCCAGGGCACCGTTGATGTCGTGGCCTGCAGGGAAGGGGCAGATATGAGCTCAGGGACTGGTGCAACTTCCCAAGACTCCTAGGCCTCTGGGCTCAGCCCTCCAACTGTCCCCAGGCAAGGCTGTCCAAAGCATGTGCCCTCCCCATCTGTGTACCCATCCCTGTGGGGCAGAGCCCTTCATCGTCCACCACTGGACACCCCTCCTAGGAGGCACTGACCTCTGCCAGCCCACAAGGCCACCTGGAGTCTCCAAGGAGGGGAGGGGACCACAGCTAAGATCTGGGACAAACAAGCAGCTTCCTTCCCTCCAGGCCCCTTTTTAGCTTCCTCACATGAGCAAGTCCCTTTCTCTCATATATAAAATGGGGTAATTGTCCCCGTCTCATGGGGTGCTATGAAGACCAAGCAAGACTGCTCAGTGGATGCCCACCACTCCCGATGACTCTGACCCACCCTGTTCAGTAGTCAGTTCCAATGGCCCAGCTGCTGGGCACCTGGGAACACGAGGCCTGGTTGGGCTGGACCACACATCCTGGGGGGGCCCATGGGCTGGGGGAGCCTCCTGCACCCCACACCCCAGCTGCAGAGGGAGAAGGCATCAGAAACAGGAGTGCCCAGCCCAGTTCACTCTCATTGCATATGCCCATCATTCCGTAACGGGGCTGGGTGCTTAGCCCCCGTTTTGCAAAGGTGAGAGGCCCAGAGAGGTAAGGGCTCACCCTGGCTTCATAGCCGTGAAATGACGGTGGACTGGGCTCTGGTCCTCCGCCCGCCCTCTCCTGGGCCCTCCTAGTTGGCCCCAGCTCCAGGGAAGGGAGGGACTCACAGAAAAGGCGGCCCAGTGCTCTTGGGCATCAGCGGGGAGGAGAGGGGGAGGCGCTGGCCTTTCCCCTCCCAGGGTCACCTTGTGGGGGGGGCAGAGGGTGGGGTGATAAGGGGGCTGACGTGGGAGATGCGTCAACTCTGATAATGGAGGACGGCCCCACCCACACTGCTGGCCAGGGCTGGCCAGCCCCACTGAGGCAGAAGGCACCCTCCCACTGGCCCTGGAGCCCGAGTCTGGGGTCTGCACCTTGTGCTCCCTGCCCCGGTAAGCCTACGAGCAGAGCTCAGAGAGGTCCAGGAATAAATACTGGCTCACCTACTCCCTACTGTGTGACACTGGGCAGGCCACACACCCTCTCTGTGCCTCAGTCTCCTCATGAGTAAAATGGGGACACGAACTGCTAACACTTTACAGTCTCGTTTTGAGCATGAAACAGGTTAAGGTATGCAAGGTGCCTGGCACAGAGTGGGTGCTCAGCAAATGGAGCAGCTGACTTCACTTCCCAGTCCCTGGAGCCCTGGGGTCCCCAGGAGCCCCCACCCAGGCCCCTCCCCGGCCCTGGCCGGCATTTCAAGAATGCTGAGCCCCGCTTAGGTGATTAATGAAGGCTAAGCCCTCCTAGGAGTCACGAGCTGCCTGGGACAGGCCCTCCTGCTCCCCCACCCCTGGCTCACCCGGCCGGGAACAAGGGACACCCACCGGGCACGGCCAATGGCTGCCCGGGGCCCCATGTGGCCAGGGCCAGAGAAGCTTCTGAAGCCAGGAATGACCAGTCTGCATGCTGAAGTTCCAGAACCCCCATCTACACTCTGGCCCCCAGCCCATCCTTCCCTATTAACCGAAGGTCCCGTTTATTGAGCGCCTACTGTGTGTCAAGCACTTTTGGAGCCAAGTACATAAATAATCACAGGAGCTTATTATATGCACGGCACCCCAAAGGCTCTTCGGGTAGTGTGACAATCTTCCCAACCTGTACGGGTGACAATGATCGCTCATCTGTCTCCCTGCCAGGCCCTGCACTACTCTAAGTGCTTCGTGAGTTTACCTCCCAATCACCCGGCAGGCTTGGTGGTATTTGCATCATTCCCTTTGTGCAGAGAGGTCAAGTCTCCTGCCCAAGGCAACACAGCAAGGGGGAGTCAAACCCAGGTGCTGGGGCCTGACTACAAGTGGGAAGGTGTGGTTGGTGGTTACTGGGCTGTTCCACCTGAT